AAAAAAAAAAAAACCACACACACACTCAGGGGCAGGTGGACATGGGGAAGGGATAAGGGTGGGATAAGACTTAGCAATAGTGGGGAAAAGGTGAGTGAATTCACATTAAATAGAAGTACCTTTGTCACAAATATTATATCTAAACTTTGGTTGAAAAAGTTAAATAAGCATAAGAAATGATAAGCAAAGAATAAAATTAGCGAAAAAGTGCTAGATCCAGGCAAAAATGGAGGACTCAAGAGCAAACAGGGTCAACGGGAGAGCAAAAACAGTTACTGAGTATATATGCGAAGGAAATATCCAAGTGTGAATTATATTGGAGAGAAGGAGATTAAAATTTGTATTAAACTATAAAATAACACTTCATACCAAGACTACTATGGTCATATTCTCACTATCTTAGACCCTTCCAAAGTCTTTGCCTTTCTACTCTGCACAGTACAAGAAAGAAATTCTAAAAGCTCCAATTCTTCACGTTTAGAGACAGACTCCACAACCAAGGCTCCAACTCTCACACCTGTTTCACACTCACCTGGAGGAGAGATCCAGTCACGTAGATGTCCAAAAGAATTGCAAGATAAACCAGAAGGGGGCAAAGTATCTTAAAAACAAGATCAGATCTGGTAAGTGTTCTAATAGTGTGTGACACTAACTAACCTTACTTGAACATCAACAATTCTCCCTTTACTTCTTGCACAATATAGCATAGTGCTTGAACACTGGAACAAGCTACCTCAATTCAAACAACTCCAATGATTTCCTGGCTGGGGGACCTTGGGCAAGTTACTTAACTGTGACAGTTTCACTCATCTGACACATGGATAATAGTACCTAAATCATTGGGTTGTAAAAGCACTAAATTAATTAGTACATGTAAACTGCTTAGAATAGTTCATAAAACAAAGCAAATGCTCATTAAGTTTAGCAATTAATTTTCTTTCAATTTGCTAACTTAAATTTCCCAAAAACAGTCAGATCTCTTTTTACTTAATTCTGAATACAAACAAGAGTTCCTATACTCTCATGTTTCATTTGGTGTAAAATCTTATATATCAGATTCTGAAAGCTTCTCCCACAACATTAACTTTTATTTTTACCTGTCTTTCATATTTTTGGATGCTCTGAACTATCTTTAGTTGCTATCACTCACATTCAATGCAACACTGACAATACTTTGTTCAGAAATCTACAACATCCCTGAACCCAAACATACCAAACACCAGCAGAAAACAGAGATAAGTTATTAACAATATTTTTTAGTACCTGGAGTCACACTATGTATTCAAGCTAGTATCGCATTAATCTTCTACTTCTGGAAGCCTAGGCTGTATCTTGTTTATTCCCAACCACAAGTCTGCACTCATGTTCTTTTTCACTCAGTTTGCTTTGCGGCATTAACTATACTCAAAGTCTATCTTTGGGGAAGCTTAAAACATTTATAAAATCTCTTCCCAGCTCACTGAATCGCCTTCCCTTAAATTTTAAAATAACTTTAACACAAAGTTGTAAAATATGTATTAGAATTTAAATTTTCCACATGAAAGCCAGATTTTAAAATAGTTAATGCAGCTATGTTCTTATTTATTAACCAAAACCTATGTTCCTGGTAAGTATTCATATTTTCTTTGAATCTCTCCAAATAGAAATTAAATTATTAGTTCCTAAACTAAATGAAATGGGTACTTATACATTCTACTCTAATCCCTATTTTATCAGAATCTATAGCTCAGAATTAATGTTCTCTCACAGATGAATAATAAAGGTTTTTCATTTACCTAATCCCTTAGTTATTCAATAAAAAATTTAACAAATGCCTACTTGTTATATGTTATATATCACAAAGCAAAACAGAGTGAAAATGTCATTTTGGAGGATTATAATTCAGATAGAAAAAGCTGAAGCAACAAATGTATGCAACTACATATCAGAGTATATAACCACATCTAACTTTTCTGTGGTAACATCAGTAAGTGGAATTGATATTAAGAGAAGAGAAAGGCTGGAGTGCTGAATAAATAATGAAGGAAATTTCATGGAAAGTTTCATAACTTTTAAGCTCAAATATAAAGAATGAAGTTGTAGAGACCTCTGCACAACACTGTGAATACAGTTAAACTTACTAAACTATAAACTTAAAAATGAGAAAGATGGGACGGCACTTGCAGCTCAGTGAGTAGGGCACTGGCCCCATATACCAGGGGTGGTAGGTTTGAACCCACCCCTGGCCAAACTGCAACAAAAAAATAGCTGGGCATTGTGGCAGGCATCTGTAGTCCCAGCTACTCAGGAGCCTGAGGCAAGATAATTGCCTAAGCCCAAGAGCTGGAGGTTGCTGTGAGCTGTGACACCATAGCACTCTACTGAAGGTGACAAAGTGAGACTCTGTTTCTAAAAAGAAAATGAGAAAGATGGTAAATTTTTTGCTGCTTTTTAAACACGATTCAAAAATAAGTGAATAAGTGAAAAGAAGAGAGGGAGGGAGGGAAAATATACTTGATCCAGGCAAGTGAAGTGCACACAAAAAAAACGGACAATGATCATTTAAATGGAAGATTCTGAGAAATCTAGACCAAACAGAATGTAATAATATGGGGAAACATAAGATTATTAATTCTAAAGGATCATATTGTGGGGATCTATCTAAGGGGCAAAGAATTTAAATTCCATTTAGGAAGCAACAGAATAATGATAGGCTTATGTCATCCAGCTGGTGGTAAGAGCAAATGTATGTTTCAGATTGAATAGACTTTACCATTTCCAAATAGGAATCACTGCAATCCCAGTATGGAAGAATACTGACAGACCCTGGTGTGAGAAGAATCTGTAAGGTATTTCAGAGAAAACAAAAAAACAAAAACTATGGAGAGAAGACTGTTACAATCTAATAAATAATGGGAGCTGAGGAAAGAGAACAGAATTCATGATTTGGGGAAGTTCATAACATCTCATCAGTCATTCTGAGAAAGAAGGAAATAGATTATTTCACCGGTGTTTCCAGGTTGTCAAGTAAAATATTCAACTAGATCATAAGGTTAAATTGTTAGACATATCAACATGGATATCAGCAGCATAAGTGCAAGGGAGGAAAAAGCCTTAAAAATTGAGAATAGATGAACCCTTTTAAGGGATACAATGAAGACCAAAAAAACAGAAAACAGGTCCTAGGAGGACACTCCTAAAAATGCAAGAAAATGAACCAAAATGCACTTATGAAATTAACACTTCCTGAATGTCTTCTATGGACAGAGCATTGATCCAGTTATGGGGAAAAGGGAATGAGAAGACAGACAATACATGAATGAACTCTTGGGGAAGGAGAGGAAAGCCCAGCAAGTGTTGTATCACATCAATGGAGGTAGGTTTGGGAATAATGTATACCACTGTAGGATATGACTGAATCCATAAGCTTAGGTGGAAGATCAGGTTTTGGTATCTGAATGCCTTCAGAGTTAAATGAAATTAGGGGCAAAGAAGAAGTCTGAGATATTTTACACCAGAGGAAAGAAAATGGAAGATAAAAAGAATCAACATGAAAGACTCAGGTTAATTTTTTTTTCAGACTTTTGAATGCCTGAAAAAAAAATGAGTAGGTAAGATATTGATAGTGCTAGGGAAAGAGGAAATCATCAGATCCTCAGTACCATACTGGTTAGCAAAGAGAACCCCTACCAATGTAAATCAAATGTAAAATAACAAAAAGAGAACATGAGCATGTGTGCTAGAGGGAAGTGATATTTGGGCATTGAGAGGTATGATTTCAGATACCTAACACATATAAAACTATCATTCCTAAAGGTCTGAGAGGACTATTTTTTGATACTGTATTAACTTACCTAGATGACTTTGACATGACAATTCACCTTCTATTATCCACGGTTCTTCCCCCTGCTCCAACTTAATGATCACATTTGGTTTGGTAATATCATACCCTGTTAATGACAGACAAGGAGAAGGACCATTTGGTTGGCTTCAGTGTCTCTGAAGATGCTGCTGCTTCAGAAGCTGCATAATAAAGTGCTCCATTTTTTTAACCACCAAAATTAGAATCTTTCAATGAAGTAAAGATACAAACACTATACCTGGTGTCCCAAATAAATGGTCTTATCATTCATTTCTTCAAACTCAAGGATAAAGTCATTAAATTGAAAGCATTAGAAAGCAAGCTATCCTTACCCACAGAAACTAGATTACTGTAGTTCTCCAACATCACATCCCTGTATGTTATTTTTTCATCAGGGTCCAGCTGCTGCCACTCCTCCTGGGTGAAGTCCACAGCCACATCCTTGAATGACACTGGCCCCTATAATGGTACCATGATTGGAAGTGAGTAATGCAGAAAAGGCACATGAGGATAAGAGCTTACCAAGCTCATTGATAAAGTTAACCATGAACATTGTATACCTTATTTTACTGATTGTGGAAGGAAAACAAGCCATATTGGAAACATATTTCCTTTGAGTTCTTCATATATCAAAAACAAAGAAAACAAAACACAATTGAGTTTCTGTTTTGTCACAGAATTGAGTTTAGACAGACATGAGTAAAATACCATTCTCTTAAAAAGCTGATAGGATGACAAGGAGATACACATGTAAATAAACATACCAGTACCATATTTTGCCATGTATAAGTGCTCCTGTATATAATAAGCACCCACATTTTTTGGTCCAGACTTTCAGGAAAATGTCCCTCAAGAAAGTGGCTGGCCCTTGGCCAGAAGAAATGTAACTGGGGAGGGCTAACACTCCCCTGGTAAACGTGCAGATTGCACCGCCCTCCTGTAACTGTCCACTCTGTGAAGGCTGCCCCTTTTCTCTCTTCTGGGAGCCCTTCCCTCCTGCCACATCAGAAGCCATGGCTGAAATGGCCATGTGTGCATCTGGCAGAGCAGGAGCTTCTGAGGCCCCTTGGCCTGTGGGCAGACAGGTAGGTCCTTGGGGCCAGTGCAGGGCTGTTGGTCCCCTCCATGCAGCCAGACCTCAGGCCTTTGGCCTCAGCCCTCACACCACATAGCCACTGCCTGTCTCACCAGCCCCACCACCACTGCCCGCTCCCCTGATCACAGCATTCAGTGGAAGCCACTCCAGTCCATTCTCACCAGATCCTGGATCCTCTGTGACTGTACCCCCATGCACCAGGCAGATCCAGGTGGCAGAGTGTGGAAGCCTAGAGGTCTGCTGGGCTTCCCCACTCCTGAGCAATACTACACAATACTATACAATACTACTACTACAATACTATAATATGCATCCTTATTTTTCCCTCAATAATTTGGGGGGGGGGAAAGCATTATACATAGCAAAACACGGTAAGTGTTTTACTCCTTATCACTTCCTTCAGGCTCCTTTGTTATTAGTCCCTCCCATTCCCCTGGATCTCTTCAAGTTGGAGCACCCACCACTCAGTCCCTGATCTCACTTCTTCCCAATACACTGCTCTGGCTCTGACTCTAACTCAGTTTCAGCTCTTTGAGCCTTTGGCTTTTTTATGCTCACAGCCAGTAGCCTTCGATTACCAGCATGGCTAAGTTTTTTACTTCTTCAAGTTTTACCCCAAGCATCTCATTCTTGCAATAAATATTGACTGAATGAATGCCCAGAGATATCACTAGAGTGCTGTAGACAAGGTACAGAACAGTTTAAGAAAACAGAATCAATTTTTTTTTTTTTTTGAGACAGAGTCTCACCTTATCACCCTTGGTAGAGTGCCATGGCATCATAGCTCACAGCAACCTCAAACTCCTAGGCTTCAGCGATTGTCTTGCCTCAGTCTCCTGAGTAGCTGGGACTACAAGCTCCTGCCACAATGCCCAGCTATTTTTAGAGACAGGGTCTTGCTCTTGCTCAGGCTAATCTCAAACTCCTAAGCTCAGGCAATCCGTCCACCTTGGCCTCCCAAGGTGCTAGCACTATAGCATGAGTCACCGTGCCTGGCCAAGGGAATCAAATTATGCTATCAGATTAGGCTTCACAGACTCAGTCAACTTGAAGTCTTTAACGATGAATTATGTCTCTGACAGAATTAAGGGGGTAGGAGAGAATATGATGAGGTATAAAAAGTACCAATGCCAAAAACCGAAATGGCACCAATATTTAAGAAGTTGGTGCAGAAAAATGGCCCAAAGAGACCTAAGGCACATTCTTCAGGACAGTTTTTTGACAGTAAGGGTCAATTCTAATTCAAGAGAGTAAATCAAACATACACAGTTGATTTCCTGTCTCAAAAACAAACCAAAAAACCCCCAAAATTCTAATTCAAAGATGTAGAAAAATAGAAAATGTTTTCATAAGAGCACTGGAACATGGAAGTTCCTAACAGCAGGACTTTCTCAAAGGAAATTCTTGAAATACAGAGAAGAGTAGAAGACAAAGAAATCAGAGCTTGGGACACAACTTTATACATGGGCAGATGTTGTGCTGCAGCAAAAGCAAACAGCAGACTCTCTGACAGAGACCTTGAAACCCATTTGAAGAGCTTAGGGTTCCTGTGGAAGTAAAGTGAAGGATGACAGAGGAATAAGATACTGGATGATCTGAGCAGCTTAGGTAGAGACCTGTGGTAAGCGCACATAGCAGCCAGAGACACAGCACAATACACGACACTTCAGACCTTCATAATTATGGTGAACATACACTCATTATCCAAACAGAAAACTTCTGTCTCGGACAAATGATAAACCAGATGAGATACCAAGAAGGTAGGTGTAATCCAAGACTGCTACACCAGCCAGGACATACTACACATACTTAACACTATTCATATCGGACACAGACTTTTCCGCCAAAGCAGTGGGGTTTTTTTTTTGTTGTTGTTTTTGAGACAGAGTCTCACTATGTCGCCCTCGGTAAAGTGCCATGGCGTGACAGCTCACAGCAACCTCAAACTCTCGGGCTTAAGTGATTCTCTTGCCTTAGTATCCCAAGTAGCTGGGACTACAGGAGCTTGCCACAATGCCCAGCTATTTTTTTGTTGCAGTTGTCATTGCTATTTAGCTGGCCTGGGCTGGGTTTGGACCCGTCAGCCTCAGTGTATGTGGCTGGCACCGAAACCACTGTGCTATGGGCACCAAGCCCAAAGCAGTGTTTTTCAACCTTTTTTATCTCATGGCACACTTGAACCTATAGTTAAACTTCTGCGGCACACTTAAATTATGTTGACCAAAAAAAAAAGAGTAAAAAAATAATATACTTACTGTGCTTTTCTGCTTCTTTCAAAAATAATTTAATGATCTTTAAAATTTTTCATAGCATGCCAGTAGAAAACCACTGCCCTAAAGGCAGCTCTTAGAAAACTACTCTCAAAGTAATTTAAGCAAATTAACCTTAGCTACCAATTCGCCACCTATGCAAAATGAAGTGATGCCTATCTAATTACATAGCCCTCCCTATTTATTTACAAACTCTGCAACCAACCTCTCATAAAGAAAAGATAGGTTAAACAGTATCATTAGTTGAGTATTCTCACATTAGGTTTTAATTACCTCACAAATTAATACAGAAAATCAAGAATTACTATTTGAGGAAAACTGCATGAATAAAAGATAAACATTAAGATGAATAACTCAATACTGACCAAACAAAGTTCATAAAGGAAATAGAACTTAAGACTTTTGGGGGGGGGGATTCATTGAGGGTACAAAGAACCGGGTTATACTGATTGCATTTGTTAGGGAAAGCCCCTGTTATAATTATGTCCCACCCACAAGAGGTGTGTCACACACCATGATCCCTCCACCCCCTCCCTTCTTCCCTCACTCCATTCCCCCAGCCCCTACCATGTACTAGTATTGATTGTCCTCATATCAGCATTGAGTACATTGGATTCTTGCGAAGCTTTACTAAGAAGAATGCATTCCACCTCTATCCAGGTTAATACAAAAGATGTAAAGTCACCATCTTTCTTAGTGGCTGAATAGTATACCATGGTATACATATACCACAGCTTGTTCATCCATTCCTGGATCGGTGGGCATTTAGGTTGTTTCCATAATTTGGTAACTGTAAATTGAGCTGCTATAACAGTCTACTGCAAATGTCCTTATGACAAAAGGATTTTTTTTCTTCTGAGTAGATGCCCAGTAATAGGATTGCAAGACCAAATGGGAAGTCTAGTTTGAGTTCTTTGAGGATTCTCCATACTTCCTTCCAAAAAGGTTATATTAGTTTGCAGTCCCACCAGCACATTAAAAGTATTCCCTTCTTTCCACATCCATGCCAGCACTTGCAGCTTTGAGATTTTGTGATGTAGGCCATTCTCACTAGAGTTAGGTGATATTACAGGGTGGTTTTGATCTGCATTTCTCTAATAATTAGGGACAATAAGCATTTTTTCATATGTTTGTTAGCCATTCGTCTGTCTTCTTTAGAGATGTTCTATTCATCTCTCTTGCCCATTGATATGAGGGACTGTTGGCTCTTTTTATATTGCTTAATTTGAGTTCTCTGTAGATCCTAGTTATCAAGCTTTTGTCTGATTCATAATATGCAAATATCATTTCCCATTCTGATGGTTGTCTACTTGCTTTGGTTGCTGTCTCCTTAGCTGTACAGAAGCTATTCAGTTTAATTAAGTCCCGTTTGTTTTTGTTGTTGTTGCAATTGCCACTGAAGTCTTCTTCATAAAGTCTTTCCCCAGGCCGATACCTTCAAAGAACTTAGACCTTTTTCTATTGATTCATATTTTTTAATAAATTAAGCAGGATATTGCTTCCATCAAATGAGAACATTCTACTAAGAAATAGCCATTGGAGAATACTTAGAAATTAAAGACTAGACAGTTGATATTTCTTTTTAGAAGTCTTAGGAAGTTTGATTAGCAAATGGAACACTGAATATACATAACTTAGAAAATCTCTTGGAAAATAAGAAATGGGAATGATGAAAGCAAATTTGGAATATAAAAGTCAGATCTAACAGATTCAACATTTTCAGAAAGAGAGAACACAGAAGATGAACAAAAAGAAATAATCTCAGACAGAACAGAAAATGACACATGAACAATCACATAAACCTTCATATCAAAAGAAGCCATCTAATCTGTAAACAAGAATACTGGGGAGGGCTCAGTGCCAATAGTACAGTGGTTACGGTGACAGCCACATACACCAAGGCTGGCGGGTTCAAACCCAGCTCGGGCTAGCTAAGCAACAATAACAACTGCAACAGAAAAATAGCTGAGCACTGTGGCGGGTGCCTGTAGTCCCAGCTACTTAGGAGGCTGAGGCAAGAGAATTGCCTAAGCCCAAAAGTTTGAAGTTGCTGTGAACTGTCATGCTGTCTCTACCAAGGGTGACACAGTGAGACTCTGCCTCCAAAAAAAGAATACTGGGGAAAAGTACAGAGAACTAGGAATTTCCTGATAAAATAAAAATTTCCTTTTAAAAATAAGAAAGAAAATCCTGAAAAGGTACAGATCCATAAAACAATAAAGCACTGGTTACTCTGGTAACTGACATCCCACTTCTCATCTGATAGAAAAGCATAGAGAATTGCCCATGGTTTTTTAAAAGAAGATCCTAGTTTTGAACCTAGAAGCATATACAGATTGAGTATTCTTTTTTTTTGCAGTTTTTGGCTGGGGCTGGGTTTGAACCCGCCACCTCCGGCATATGGGGCCTACTCCTTTGAGCCACAGGCACCACCCCCAGATTGAGTATTCTTTATTCAAAATGCTTGGGACCCAGAAGTGTTTCGAATTTTAGAATACAGCAGAACCTCTGTAAGTTGACCACCCAAGGAACTATAACAAAAACATACATTAAGTGGTTAACTGTAACGAAAACATACATAAGGAACCAGGCCTACTATACTGACACATGTACATGTGCTGTAAGTTCAGTTTATGAAAATTATGTCAACTTAAAGAGGTGAAACTATGGAAGTTCTACAATATATGCATTATATTTATAGGCTGAGCATCCTGAATCAGAAAATCCAAAATCCAAAATGCTCTAATAGACATTTCCTTTGAATGTCATGTAGGTGCTCTTAAAGTTTCCAGGCCATGGAAGAACAGAGGTAGAGATAAGGAGAAAGAGTTGAGAGACCCGGGAAAAATGGAAGGAAAATGCAAACAAAAAGGAAGAAAATAGTCAAAGAAACTGGCCCTGACTCACACATGTTACAATTGCAAGGAACAGTTTATAACTGTATTTCGTATATTCAAACAAATTGAGTAGAGATAGGCATGATATAAAATAGACCCATTAAAAACTGTAATATCTGAGGTAAACATTATTCTGGATAAGATTAACAGCACTGCAGAAAAAAGGAGATTAGTGAACATGAAGACACAGCAATAGAAGCTACACAGAATGAAATATAAGAGTAAAAAAGAATTAAGAGAAAACGAAGAAGAGCAGTGAGCCATGGAATAATTTTAAGCAACCTAATATACAAGTAACAAGAATCAATAAAAGAAGCCAGGGAGAAGAGGTAGAGGGTATTTGAAGAAATAATGATCAAAATTTCTCCAAAGTTGATAAACCTAATATCCAAAAAGTTCAATAATCCCCAAGCATAAAAACATGAAGAAAATGATATCACAATATATCACAATCAATTACCTCTAACTAGTACAATGCACCCTTGAACTCCTGGGCTCAAATGATCCTTCTGCAAGTAGCTAGGACTACAGGAGTAAGCCATCACACCCAGCTCCCACCCAGACTGGTCTTGAACTCCTGGCCTCAAATGATACACCTGCCTCAGCGTTCTTACATGCTGGGATTTCAGACACCAGGCTGTGAACTACTATTAAAAGACTTAGGGGCACGGTGGCTCACTCTGGGAGACTCAAGCAGGTAAACTGCTTGTGCTCAGTAATTCAAGACCAGACCCTTGCAAGAGAAAGACCCCATCTCTACTAAAAATAGAAAACCTAGCTGGGCACAGCGGTATACACCTCCAACTACTCAGGAGGCTGAGGCAAGAAGATTGCTCAAGCCCAAGAGTTTGAGGTTGCTGTGAGCTATGATAATGCCTCAGCATTCTACCCAGGGTGACAGAGAGAGACTGTCTCAAAAAAAAAAAAAAAAGACTTACCAACCCAACTACAGCATGTGAACTATACTTGTACTCTGATAGAAAAGAACATACCAAAAATTTTTTAGATAACTGTGAAACTTTGAACACCAGATATTATATGCATATATTAAGAAAAATGGCATTGTCAGTTACCTCCATGCCCTTTTTTTTTTCCTTTGAGACAGTCTCACTATGTCACCCTCGATAGAGTGCCATGGTGTCACAGCTCACAGCAACCTCAAACTCTTGGGCTCAAGCAATTTTCTTGCCACAGCCTCCCAAATAGCTGGGACTACAGGTACCAGCCACAATGCCCAGCAATTTTTTTGTTACAGTTGTCATTGTTTAGCTAGCCCAGGCTAGGTTCAAACCCACCTCCTGGGTATATATGGCTGGCACTATAACCACTGTGCTGCAGGCGCCAAGCCCCCCATGCCCTTTTTAATAGACTCCTCATTATTTAAAGACAAATACAGAAATACTTACAGATGAATGTTTTTAAAAATCAAGAAAAGGAAGACTACATGAAGAAAATAGCAGCTTGGAAGTTAACAGATGTCAAAGGCAAAGGCAGGGTCATATGAGGTAAGGACTAGAAAATGCCCACTGGAATTGACCATAATTAAATCCCTGGCAATCTTCACTGACAGATCCAGGAAAGTGATAAGGACAAAATAAAACCAGTGAGAACTGAAATATTTCAAAGACCATAATCTAGAATTAAAGAGTAAAAATGGAAATATGTCTACTCTGATCACAACTATTTTGGTTCTTGGGAAAATTATATGCATCAAGTTCTCCTTGAGCAGCAGACCTTCTGCTTACATAAGCAACAAGTATAAGCCAGGAGTTGAATAATTAAATGGTTGTTATTAGGAAAGCTATCCCCAATTATATCAACTTTAACAAAGGTACTTTTTGATGTCCTAGGAAATCTTAAAAACCCACAAGTAACAAAAATGGTTTCTCCTTATAGTCAATGCAAATGACATAATGGACTGTATTCTCCTTTTTTCTATAACTGTCAAGAACATTGAGTCTGGCCAAACACAGTAGCTCACACCTGTAATCCTAACACTCTGGGAGGCTGAGGCAGGTGGATAGCTTGAGCTCATGAGTTCAAGACCAGCCTGAGCAAAAGTGAGACCCTGTCTCTACTAAAAATAGAAAAACTGAAGCAAGAGGACCACTTGAGCCCAAGTTTGAGGTTGCTGTGAGCTATGACACAACAGCACGCTACCCAGGGCAATAGCTTGAGACTGTCTCAAAAAAAAACAAAAAAAAACAAAAAACAACCCAGAACATTGAGTCTTGTTCTCTACTTTGCAGCTCAAATTCAATAGCTCTGAAGTATCCTAGTACATACACAAATGAATTTGACAAGAGTTTTAGTGCTGATCTGCCTCGCTTGTATTTTATATGATAATGTCTCTTGAGTATTTATACAGTTCCGTTTTAAAGTATGGGACCATATAAACTTCCTAAAATGCATTACAAAACAAAACGGGGAACACATACACAAACAGGGAAACTCACCTGTGATTTGTTCATTTTCTGCTGTGTTTAGAAATGTGTAGAGACTATTGATGATGGACCTAGGGGAGAAGCAGGTAATTGAAGTCATGAGTCCTTTGGCCTGCATAAGCGGGAATCTCCTGCATAAGAACCACCAAAGAAGGCTAGATAAAATAGCACCCTATAAACACTCACCAGGAGCTAATATAGCAAAACGGAGGAAATACACACTGCACCTTTGTAACTCCAACATGATCACGTGGTAATTAGGTGAGTTAGACTCTCTTGGGTGAATATAAACATTGACTTGACTCCATTTACAAATAGGTTGCTACCATCAAATACAATGGGAAAACAAAAATTCTCTTTGAACTGCTTTCTTACTGTCTCTTTAAATTATTCAGAATCAAAAAAGCCACAGGAATTGAAAATCTGATTCTTAAAAATGGGATTAGTGTGTATAAAGTATAGTTACCTGACTAAACCTGTTTACAGCTATAAATAATCTTTTTTAAGACATCTGGGACAGGGAGGACAAAAGACTGGCCTGGGAGAGTAATCTCCTGAATTCTACTGTGAGCAATTCTATCCACAAAGTCAGTGACAATGGTCAAGTCACCTATCTGCTAAGGCCCAATCTCTTCCTCTAGCAATTGTGACAGCAAGTGAGAATTCTTGCAGACTTCCCCTGCACTACATTCATTATACGATTTTCACAGGGGTAGAATTGAGCAAGAACAAGAGATGCAGATGGACTTTTAGTAAAAACACGTTTGCAATCTGGTGCGGTGAGAGAGGAAGGAAGGAGTGTTAGGGGTGTGGAGGAAAGAAGTGGAGAGAAAACTGAGGCTGAAGCTGAGGCTGCAGACACGCCCCTTTCCACGGTGAACCCAGTCTTCACAGATCCTCTCTTAGAGAGCCTACTCCGGTGCAGCCTGCACCTGCCCTCAAAGCCAATCATTCGTCTCTCCTGGAAGTCCTGGAAAGAAACCCTTTCCTGCCCACACGCTCATGTCCTCGGCAAGCTTTACCCATGCTGCGCTCACTCTGAGCCCGCAAACTCCCGATCTACTCCTCCCGAGGCCAGCGGCCTCTGCCCCATGGCTCCCGAGAGGTCGGGGAGGGAGATGTTCTCGCTGGCGCGCTTCTGTTACCAAGGTCTCCTCCTTCCCACCTCATCAAGGCCTTTCTATTTCCAAGGATCCGGGTCTGGTCCTACAGCACACATGCAGAAGGATCTTCCCTTCTGGTACTTAAAACTGCCTTCCTTGGGACTCACCGTCCCGCGGAGCTTCGGCCGGGCAGCCTAGGATGCAGACAGGCCGGTCCCTGGTCCCACCGCCGCCGCCACTGCCCGCCCGACCTCTCCAAGGTCCCCGCTTGAGCCTTCGCACAGCCTCGCGACCACCTGGTTGTCCCCTCCAGCCGGTCGGCGCTTAGCCGCGTAGGCTCCACGATCTCGCCCACCAGAGGCCAAAGCCTGGCAAGGAGGGAAATCGGCAACCTGGAAAAGCGCCGGAAGGGAGAGCAGAGGGCTGCGGCGCACATGCGTGAACACGCACACAGGGCAAGATACACTTGCGCAGGAGAGCGCCGGAAGTCTTACTCCCAGGGCCCGCCTCTGGCCCCGAGACCTGTACCAGGACTCTATTTCCCTTAAGTCTACGCGCCACACGGTTTAGAGAAGATCTAAAAAGTCTCTACTTCGTCTGGCTGTTAAAAATCTCTGTGCTATGGGGATTGGCAGCCTAGAACTCCGTACTCAATTTCTCATTTTTCGGCGCTTCCTTTTAAGGTCGAGCAGCTAACTGCTGAGATTGCACCGGGGAACCCAAGTCCTTTCTTTGTCTAAGACCGCTTCGGTTAGAACTGAGATTCTCACAAGCAGAAAAAAAGGAAAAGATGTGTTTTGTTCACTTAACTAAAATCCTACACGTTTCCAAGGAAGAAAAATAAAGTAGAAATCGTAGCTTGTCTGTATCACACAACTAATGCATAAACATGTTTCTGCCCCCGCCCCCCGCCCCCGGTTCATTGCCAATTGCTCAAGAGGAAGCCAACACACTGAGACAGCAGCGGTCACAGCAGAGAAGAGTTTAATATCACAGGCCCCTTGCGAGGAGTGGGAAGTTCTCAAATCCAGCTCCCAAAAAAATTTGGAAAAAGGAGTTTTTAAAGATAGTTTAGCAGGCAAAAGGCTAGGCAATTTAGTCTGCTAATGGGCTGGGTTCCTGGTGGAACCACGGGGGTGTAGAAATTGTCTTCTTTGATGAGTCAGTTCTAGGAAGGGCATCCCAATACCAGTCCACTGGTTTGGGAGGGTCAACTGTTTCGCCAGAAAGCAGGACCTGGAAGGTATCTTACAAACTAGCCTTAGCTTTCATCACAGGGGTAATGTTATGAGAGGAATGAAGAAAGCTAGGAATCGTTATGGCCATCAGTTATATGACTCATGAGTAGTAAGTAATTATAGGAAAGCAACATACACTCATATATATCTACACACATGTATTTATATATATGTATATGTACATACAATATATTTTTTTCCTACCACAGTTCCCACCTTGTGGACTTTTATTAATTTCATAAAGGATGGTTTCAATCCTACCCCCTACCTCCTGAGCGTCATCCAACCTCGTTCCTGAGGTGTGGGCCAATGAGATGGAAAAGGTCAGATCACACATTTGGCTTCTTCCTGCTAACAAGGGCCATAATTGGGATTGAACCAGGATAAGAGGAATGAAATCATTTTGCAGTTGTCTTCAACTATTCAAGGATGGGGAGTTGCAAACCTAAGGTTTGCATGGCAACATTACTACCTTTATTTACACCCTTAGTACAGTGTTCAAGTAAACAGTAGACTATAAGATAGATAAGGAGCCCTAGTATATGTAGTGAGAGTCCCAGCTTTAGGAGTTCCTGCAGAACTGATCTGAAGTCCTGGAGAGTCCAAGTGAATAACCCCCAAAACGAATCAGGCATGAGGTCACTAGTAGAACCTTGCTGTAGCCACATAGCTTGTTAGGAAATTTTTTGGGGGGGGGGTTCCACTTTTCCTGCGGTATTTATATAAACACAGCAAGTAGTGTTTAACACTGCACAGAGTCCCCCTTGTTTAGCAAACAGGAAATCTAGTGCTGTCTGAAAGTTGAAGGATCTTTGTTGAGCCCTAAGGCTCTTTGCAGTTTCTTCTGTGATCAGAAGTCACAGGCAGATTTTTAATCATAGTTCTGTTAGCTACCAAGTGTTCCAGTTTCTTCCAGGCAACCCTCTCTTAAGACATCTGTGGGAAAGGAAGTGGGGACTCCCAGTTAATCTTTTCTAGCTCAGATATGGAAATATCTGACTGTATTAATGGAAACACTTTACAGATGCATGTCTGTCCCCAACCATACACACAAGAGATAATTTTCAGTGTTATTTCTGTGATAGCCATCCCAAAATATGTGAAAGAAATATATTTTGGGGGTAAAATGTTTCTAATTTCTTTCAGCCCCCTCCTTAAAACTAAAAGATTTTACATATTAAAAGCCAAGCTGTTATCTTAGGACTAAGAAATGGGAAGAAAAACCTACATTGGAGCAAATTTAAATATATCATATTTTTGGTGAGTCAGTGCTGTGAACAGATCAATGTAAACAGCTGTGTCTCATTACAGGCTCTGGTATTGCAGATGAGTTTTCAGACAAGAAAACCAACCAATGGTTCCAGAATATTTGGAACCATTCATATCTAACTGAGTGGCCAGATGTTAAACTCAAAGGCTCTTCAGTTAATGTGGAAGTAGATGTTGGAAATCTGACAGATTGTTTTTTCACTTGCCACTTGTATGCCCCAAGGTGTTATTTGCAGGGTCTCAGGAAAAGATAGTGATTTCATTGAGTCCAAGTCAGAAAAATGAGAAAAAAATTGAAAATGTTGTCTGAAGAACTGTAGCCAGGAAATAATTCAGGATTCAGTCCAAATTATAGGCAAAAACCAAAAACTTAAAAACAGTGGACTATAGTTTCCTTTTCCTCTTTCCAATTACTCACTTTATTAAAAATGAATCTTAGTAGGATCAATTTACTTGCAAAAACAGACTTCACTCTCATTATGCTTGGCCTGATTATTTTGCATAAAGTGCAATAAGAATAATTATCAGCCATAGAGGCTTTTCTTTCTTTTTAAATCATCTTGGATAGAACTTTTTCTTAAGGAATCTTAGGTTAGATTTGAAAGCCTCTCAAATCAAGCCAAGAATGTATCTATGCCATTAGGTAACTATGTGAATGGGGAAAATCTCTCTCTCTCTCAAGGTTCCAAAGTAACTTGGGGTTCCTGGACCTGTCAGAAAGTGACATTCTTGACTTACCACAGAGTAGGACATACTGTTGTTTAGGTACCTGGCCAGTTTTTCCAAAGGGCTTTTTATTGGCCTTATAAAGTCAACCTTAATTTCTTAATACAGTCTGGGAACCTCTGAAAATATGCCATTCCAGTCAAAGCCTTGGGAAAATAACCTGTGTCTGTCCTTGTGTCCTGGTATAGAAGAAAACAGATTTTTATTGAACTTATACAAATAATTGTATTGCAATAAATTAAGTTACAAATACTTTTAAAATTCTGGAGAAAGCAAGAAGAGATGAAAAGAAATGTTTTAAATTTTGCTTACAAATATATACTTTATTATAAGTTATAATTAGTTCAAAAGAGGGAAAAAGTTTTCTTGTGGAAAACAAAACATTAAAAATTCAGCAATATTTCAAACAAAAATTTATTAAAAAGTGGGACTGATCTACTAATTAACTTCTGTTCTGTTTGAAGTTGAGTTAGCAATAGGACATATCATGGACACATCAGCTTTTTAATTAATCTCAGAAGTTTGTTTTTAATCCAATGGTATATAATCTCCAAAGTTATCAGAAACCTATGTTCAAGGGAACTTGTCAGTCCTTTCCCTGACTTTCCTTGAAGAAGAAAATCTTGGACAATAGCCAGTTTACAAATCACTTTTTTTTTTTTTTTTTTGAGACAGAGCCTCACTCTTTCACCCTGGATATAGTGCCATGGCATCATCTTAGCTTATAGTAACCTCAAACTCCTGCATTCAAGAGATCTTCCTGCCTCAGCCTCCCAATTAGCTGGAACTATAGGCACCCACCACAACACTCAGCTAGTTTTTCTATTTTTAGTAGAGACAGGGTCTCACTCTTGCTCAGGTTGGTATTGAACTCCTGAGCTCAGGTGATCATCCCTCCTCAGACTCCCAGAGTGCTAGGATTACAGGTGTGAACCACTGCACTTGGCCTACAAACCACTGTTTGAGAAGAATCAAACTAAAATAATAATTGTGTACAGAGGACAAAAGTCTAAGAACAGCTATGATTTATGTTGCCCTCAGTAGAGTGCCGTGGCATCACAGGTCACAGCAACCTCCCACACTTGGGCTTAAGTGATTCTCTTCCCTAAGCCTTCCAAGTAGCTGGGACTACAGACACTAGCCACAATGCCCAGCTATTTTTTGTTGCAGTTGTCATTGTTGTTTTAGCAGGCCCGGGCTGAGTTTGAACCCACCAGCCTCAGTGTATGTGGCTGGCGCTGTAACCACTGTGCTACAGGCATCAAGCCCCTTGATATATTTTGGGTATATTATTTTTATATGCTATAGAAAACTAAACATATTTATGTATGCTAATAAAAATTGAGGACTGATAGCAATCCTATAACTAACTCAGACATTTTTAATTATCCTGTTTAACATAACATGACTTTAAGATTTTAAGTTACTGAAAAGAATTTTAAAACTACAACAAATGTCTTTTTCTTGTCCTCCAAAGTCTCATGTAGCCATCGGGTATCAAAGATGGCTACAAAGAACAGGGCCTTTCTGCAATTTACATACCAGGTATAGAGTTCAAGGCAGAAGATAGGATACCTACAGGATCCAGTTCCTCCCAGAATTGCCAGGAGGCAAAGCTGGGCAGGAAGTAGGGACCATATTGGGCTAAATTGTGCCGTGTAGCTGCTGATCTAGGCATTGAGAACATGTCCCCAGCCCTCACCATGGCCACCTATCTAGACCCCAGAATCCAGAGGCTCAAAACCTAAAACATAAGGTCACAGTCAAATCCAGAAAATATTAAAAATTTATAGGAGCAGCAATTTTATGACCTTAAAACATCTAAGCTTTAATAACAATTTAAGAACTAGTTTCATTTACCAAAGATTATCAAAGTCACATAAACTAAAAGAAATTTGAATTCTTTCCTATTTGCCTAATAAAATATCTGATTTAAGTGCTTATTTTTTTTATTTTTTTGAGACAGAGCCTCAGCTATAGACCTGGGTAGAGTGCCATGGCATCATAGCTCACAGCAACCTCAAACTCCTGGGCTTAAGCGATTTTCTTGCCTCAGCCTCCCAAGTAGCTGGGATGACAGGTGCCCGCCACAATGCCTGGCTATTTTTTGGTTGTAGTTGTCATTGTTTGGCAACTGGGCTGGATTCGAACCTGCCA